TATAATTATGCCACTAATCAATTTTTTAAGTCTTGTTTTAGTAGTTGAAGAGCTATGTAGTTCAACACTGCACTTCCTGTTTAGTGTTTAAGATGCACACAAAACCTTGTTAACATAAGCATTAAGTTTACAGAATTTCAAAGACCTGAAATTTTTAGGACAAGCAATAAAAGGAATTATGTGTTCATGTTTATGAGATTAAAAGACTGATTTTAGTCAAGTTAGTGTTGTTAATTTAGCAATATAATGATAGTCAAGAGAATTCAAGATAGACTAAAATAAGAGCTTTTTTATTTTCAAATATGTTTTGCTGCTATAACAGAATGCCTGAGACTGGGTAATTTATAAAGAAAATAAATGTATTTGACTCATAGTTCTGGAGGCTGGGAAGTCCAAGTGCATAGTGCCAGTATCTGGGAATGGTCTTCATTTACATCAACCTATGGCAGAAGGTGGAAGGGCGAGACAAAGAAAGAGGCCCAAACTTCATTTTATAACAATCCACTCTCAAGATAACTATCCCAGTTTTGCAATAACAGCATTAATCCAATCATGAAGGCAGAACCCTCAGAGCTAATCACCTCTTATTAAGCCCTGTTTCCCAATACTATTGCCTTAGGGATTAACTTTTCAACTCATAAATTGTGGGGAACACAGCCACATGGTTTTAAACTTTGTTACTGTAAAACTAAAGTACTGAGTCTCTTGAATAAAGATAATACTACTCTTTGAATACCTTTTAATATGGTGTTAATTTATTGTAGCTATTCTAACAAGAATAATTTATTCCTATTACTGATAACCTTCAGTGCACTATCCTGGATATTCTGTATATTATGAGGCATTCTGTCTCAGACTGATAGAAATGTGAAATGTTCCTATGCCTGTATGAGGCATCAGGAATTTTTCAGGCTACTTTCATTGACTTCAAAACTGCCACCAGGCAACAAACTGGGCAGTTGGAGAGCTCTCCCTGTTTCTTTCCCTTCTTGCAGGAATCATAGTCCTGCATGTTATCTAGTGTCTGAAAACTGTTGTTTGTGTTATCTGCTAGTTGCATTAAGAAAGGAGGGTTAAATCCCTGTCCCATTTATTCCACAAGTAAAAAAGCACATTATAAATTTTAAAGCAATGTAGTTAGCTGTATTTTAAAAAAATATTGTATAGAGCCATGAGAAAACTGAGCAGTGACCTAGAAGTTTCCAACATAGTTACAGCAAATACCCTCATCATTGGGAAGTGAACTGCTTTTCCTTAGCATGTTAATTATGAAAACCTGAAAGCTTCTTCTATGCTCTGTATTTTGTTTCAAGCCTTTAGTAACTAAATGTTTTCAGACCATATCTCTTTAAAAGCATATGTGCTGCAGTGGGGTAAAAAAAAAAAAAAAAAACCTTTAGTTTGTCTTCAGTCAGTTGACAGAAACTTAGGCACATATTTCTCAAGATTTGGGGGGATTTTTTAATACTTTATTGAAAGTGTTAATCTTTCATGTTTTAGCATTCATTAGATTCCAAATCTTATTTTCCCACTCCTAGTTGACTGCAAAAACGTCAGTTGAAATGATTTGAGTCTCTATTCACTCCCTAGAGACAACTGAGAGGATTGATGTTACTATTCCTTATTTTTTCAGTTACTGAATATATGCATTTTACTGGTTATAGAACTTTGTCATTAGTGTGATTATTTAATATATAAAAATCTTTAGAAACCATGTAAGACTGATCTCTAATATGAGCTCTGAGGGACTGGGCCCATTCATCAAAATTCTTATTATAAGTTACTTCAGATATTCTGTAACAAGCTGCTATTATTTTATGAACAAACAGTGGAATGATTGCGGGGCTTCTAAGATCTAGGTTTAGTTAGTTAATTGATTATCTAAGGTAATCAACTTATAGAAAGGTTTACTTTGGCTCATAGTTTTAAAGGTTTTAGCCCATGCATTGTCTGCACTTGCCCCTTGGGTTCTAGAGAATCTCTTAACCAGTTCCTGCATTACTCACAATCAGGGCCTATTTGTATAGGATCCTATTTGTATCCTAAAACCTCAGATCTGCACTTAACAAAGACCACAGACCTCATCATCACCTATGTTCATCCTGGGGGACCTTCCTCAGGTCCCATACAACCCTGTAACTCAAG